ATACTCAGTTGAGAAAAACTTCCATTGTGAGCAAGCGGTGTTTTTGAGTGGCCCTAGCATCTCTGTGAGCTCAGTTAACCCCCACAAACGCAAAGTAGACCCTGAATTCGAGAAATCGTTCAGTTGTAACATTTTTCAGTGTCTAGCTGCCACACTACCCGACGGAAGAACATGGGCTGAGATACTGCTTAGTTGCCCTGCCTAAACAAAAGCACTCGACATGTCGGAGTTTCGTTCGAACCACGGACTTTCTGGTCAGCAAGTTCGAATATTATCCACTGAGCTACCTCGCAAAGCTTGGCTATATGCACTAATATTTCTGCGGAAGCTTTCCTCTCAAGTGACCAATAAATATGACCTCACATCCGGTTCCCTTCGAAAACGTTCCAACACGAAGGAATGGAACGCTGATAGACATCCTCCGTCACGGACCTAGTTCATTTGAGAGGCCACCATCAATACTCAGAATAGGACGTGGTTCTAAATGGACGATCACCCGACATACACACTACAAGACTACCTCACTTAACCTTAGGGTACTATATACAGACCTCGACTGGAAAACTTCCAGTAAAGACGGGCTTTTCAACCAAACAACTAGACTTACCAACCCAAGTCTACCTGAGTTCATATGGAACATTGGTTGAGAAAGGCTAACAAACAGAGTAGGGTTTCGCAATAACCATACTAGCTAAAGATGAGAAACCTTTCGGTGTACATAAAAATCCCGCATACCCATATTACCCACATTCAAATTTTAGCAGGTGCACTCAGTGAACACGTGTCACAAAGTAGTAGCTTTGAAACGGCAAGCGGTGACAGGACTTTTGTCAGACGACCGAAAAAGAAAAATAGGAGGGTAATCTAACGATTTAAACTCGGAGAAAAACCTCTAAACGCACGCAAGTCGATCGACTGCAACTTGAACCGGGCGGAAGTAAATAAGAACGAATTCGAGTTGTGGTGCGCAGAAAATGTGGTGAGTACCCGCGAGTATTACAAGATTCGACCGAGCTAAATGATTTTCCTAATCAGAGAAAGAGAATCAATGCAACAAGAATCCAAATTTACCAGCAACAATGATAAGGAACTTACGTCCGCAGGGTTTCGTTCAATAGGAATCGGTAAATCAATGAAAGTGATGCATAAATAACAGAGAACACCAGTAGTTCGAACCAAATCAAACGATAGACGCTTCCTCTCCATCTAGAGGATAAACAATACTTTTTTTAACACAACATTATATTTACATGAACAAAAGCCGCAGGAATGTGGAATAACTAGTGGTAGCCACAACGGAAGCGTAAGGAACGGTCATTGTGATTAGCTTCCGGGAAGGTGTTAACCGACAGTGAGCAAGAAAGACGGGAGTTCCACCTAAAAATGATGGAAAAAAGCAGGTAATCACACCGATACACATAACCAAACGATCATTGTGGTCCTTGTTGGCTGGCTTCAAACAAATAAGCAGGTCGAGGAGGTGCTGAGAACGTTGGTACATAGGTAGTGACTATGCCTAAATCACAATAATCGACCAAGCGGGGATTCTGATAGAATGACTCCGACCCCAAAAGTAGCTTTGTGGAAACAAATAACAAAGTTGTGTGCAGACGAACTGGTGCGAAAAACTCAGAATCACATAACTGAGTGTAATCGACACACTATCTATCTATTGCTAGTGACAACAGGTCATTATCAATGGTTGAAGCAGAATACGTGTGGAAGCCCAGTAATTCACTGTCGCGAGGCGACTGACCCCCGAGGTCACCATCCAGGGAGGCGGCAGTTGTCAACCCAATTGAGTTGACTGGTTAGTGTTTTCATACTTCGTTGCCAAGTCGTATACTGCCCACCTCATGATCGCTTCTACTCAGTACAGGGCCGGGAAAACAGAGCTCTGCGAGGCAGACGGTCCTCTGGCATGCGAAGTTCATCTCTAAACCAATGTAACCTATGAAGCGTAAGTGGTTCATCCGTCGCAGAACAATTCCTTTTCCATACAACTATCCGATGTACCACAGCATTGCTAATCCGATGTTTCCATTAAATGGTCCATAGTTCAAGCCTCACATTGACATCTCGGCAACTCCTGTCTACACTCGAGCGACTTGGCAGAATTACCGTGTTCATGATTCCTTCGAGTAGCATGAGAGCTATGTACTGAGTGTTACAGCTGAAAAGCACCCCTTGACGTGATGAACCCAGGCGAAGACTTGGTATATACCCGTACGCGCCCACATTAGTTCGAATACAAGGGATTTCCAGTTACAAGGGACGCCTTTGATCATAAAATACAGGAAAGGTTTCTGACGATCGGCAGAGTTAGAAGCCGTTTTCAGACCAAGAAAATTTACCCATGTGGGAAGTTTGAAAGAGTGACTTTGCTCAAGAACTTGTCTCAGGTTGAAGATATGGTAGACGAACCCTCGGCTGTTCGGAACGCACTGGATTCTCACGAGTTTGTCTCTCAAGAAAGGCTATCAACCTATGAAAAATAGTACCAGAGTACCTTCGATGCCTAAGCTACCAGGTAGGTGCTATGATTGCTTTGTATGATATTCTTTTTAAAGATAGAAGTCATAGTCGAGAAGTTCCATTCGTGGTATTTTTACTTCCTTCCGACTCTCTTGCAGTAGGGTCACCAGACTGTTCACCAGGGCTTCGCCACCTTATAAAATAAGGGGTGCAGACTATCCGGCCTGGGATTCTGTTCTTCGGTGGAGGAATATTTAACGTTGGATTTGTGTTGCTAACGGCGGACTGGTTGTGATGTTTCATTCTGTTAGGAGGACTACCTCCAAACGAACAAATCCATTTAACTAAAGATTTGTCTTGTAAACTGAAACCTTTGTTTCAACATTTCAGCCTCTCACTGACATCCTATTGGACTGTTGGCTCTTTTTATATTCTGGTTCAGTTGAATTCATACCACGGAACGATCCACTTGTTTGCAGTATAACTTCCTCGAAGTTGTTCGTCTTCTCCACTTCGGTGATCTAACGTGTCTGACTGATATAGCATCAAAGAGGACATAACACATTCACGTTGGTTGGGTTCTTCTAGAGGATGTGTTGACAGAAACCAGAGGAAGCCGTCCTTAAAATGTTCAGTCCATCGTTCAAGAGAACCACTTTGCGGAGGAACTTCCGTTCCATCACGTAAATTATTTCGATAACATCCGTCTTCTTTGGGCAAGTTGACTGAATCAGTTAGAACAGGGAGCGGAGGGTTTAAAGAATCGTCGTGGCAGCTGAGTCAACTGCAGATAGTACAGCTAGAGGCAATGGGCAGCGAACACGTCGGTCCTTAAGAATGGACCTAAGGATATGACGCTGGCAACAGGATGACAAGAAGGAGAACGGATATACGCAAGAGTAAGAAGGGAGGGAGTAGCAGTAGCCTGTTTTCGCTTACGTGTTCTACTGTATGCAGCAAGTAAGGAGACCCGGCTGGTGGCATCACGCGACGGCTGGTGTGGCATGAGACCGTTTGCAAGTTGCGTAATTCACGGTTGTGCGTGGGCTGGGCTACTGCTACGGCACTGAGACCTAAACAGGAGGACGGCTATGGTCCTTAACCGAAGAATTAGGCGTAGAATCATCAGAACAGCTCACAATTTGAGGAGAAAGCCACCGCACACGTTCTAACCTCAAAACTAAGGAACCATGAGACTGTGTTAGACTTCTACTCGGTACGAGAGGCTCTATCAGTGTCACGCGTGCATTCTATGCTATGGCTCAAAGGATTATGAGTGTTCACAAGCGGTCACATCGCGGTAAAGCCATCTCTTTGAGAAGCCGCTTCAGCTTCACACCGACAGTCTGTCTGGGTGTACACCGACACCATACATAGACACCATTACCCGCATCAATCCGAACTGAACAAGTCAATCTAACAGTGCAAAGACTGGGATCCAGTAAAGTGAAACGATTTCAGTTCTCAGGCTGCGTGTCACTCCCAAACCATAGATACCACGAGCCATCGTGTCTGGATCACACGATAATCGAAGAATGAAATGCGAAACATCCGAGCCGCTCGATGTGTATCACCGAAACGGGGTCTTGTGTGCGTTTCGGAGACATAACATAAGTCGACAGAGAGGGGAGGCAAGCTTTCAACATCATTGTCAGCTGTAATAACCGTGTACTCGTCCTACAGTGGCTGTAGCTGCCGCAGTTTCGTTCACCGATGATTTGGGGGGGGGGGGGGGGGAGGCGAAGCATTGGGGGG